CCCCCCCCCCCCCCCCCGTGTAACTGCATTTTGGCAAATGCATTCAGGCTCAAACAGGAGTCTCCATCCTGCCCGTGGTGCCCTGTGAGCTGCTGCCAGCCAGGCACCCCAAGCCTGGCCCTGGGCAAGCTGCCGGCCTCCTCCCCGCCGGGACCTGCCCAGGCCCATTGAGAGGCAACTGAAGTGAGTGTCATGATCCCCCGTCCCCCACAGCCACACTTCTGTCCCTGTGGTTTCCCAGCAAAGCAAGGGCCTCTGCCCCAGACCTGGGCAGTGTGTCCCAGGGTCACTACCCTGGTGCCCTGTGCTGGGAAAGGAAGTGCATTTCTCCACTACTGTCAGCTTTGTACTTGGAGGAGGTAAATAATCCACATCCCCAAGAGAAGGAGACACTACAAGGGCAGATAAGCCTCAAAGCACCTGTCTATGCATAATGGTACTGAAGGGGGTTTGTTTTGTTCCCTCCCTCACCCCCACCCCCTTTATGTGGTTAAAAAAAACACCTGATTTCTTTTTTCCTTAAAAGGGGTCAATTTCTGCCCCAGGTACCAAGTGGTATTTGTGTTTTGGAGCAAAAGTTTCAGTGAGGAAGCTGCTTAAAATCCCTTCCCTGTTCCTTCCAGTTCCCTCCACCCCAGTTCTGGGCTTGGAGCTAATCCTGGCGCTGGAGATAAAACCAAAGCCAGGCCATGAGCCATGCGGTTCCTACAATAAGGCGTCTTATCTCCAGTTTTGCCCTCAGACCTTATTTAGTGTTAGTGTCAGGCCCCTCGTTTCCAACTGGAATTGGTGAGGGGGGGAGAAGGTATTTTAAAACATTACACCTCTGCTCGCCTTGGGTTATGGCTTGTAAATTCCTCCCTTGGTTCTCAATAGACTGAATAAAGCAGACGCCAAGGCAATTACACGTGAAACGTTAATCTGATTTCTGTGGGGAGAGGAGGGACTCCCACCTGGAGGGTTCTTTTAAAATGGACCACGTTAAAATCCCAGATACATTATAGAAGCCCACCTGCTTTTTAAAATAACAGTTTCCTGTAGTAAAAGGTACCCTGGTCGTTCAGGCAGATTGCTTGTTTTTATCCTTGCTTGCCATTCCCTTCACCTTGAAATACGAATGTAAACTGTCTTCATCAGGTTTCCTGTTGCTAATCAGTCTTACTTCTGCCCTAGCGTTGTCTGCGTCCCTGTCTGAGCTATTTCGACAGTGCCCGTCACAGTGGCATCTGAGCTAAAGGATGCAATGTTGGAGCTGTTTGCTATGCACGTGAGTGAGTGCTCGCCTAGGGGGAATATTTAGTGCAAGCAAATATTTAGGCAGGCAACCAAAAAAATCTGCAAATCCATTTCCAGTTTTCAAAGGAAATCATGAAGCATTTTTATTTAATGGCAGGTTCATTCAATAGTTTTTCTTTTTTTCATCACTTACATTTAGGGCCTAATTTGACTGGACAGTGAAGTGGAGATTGCA